ACTGAGGTCCTCCATCCACATGAGAGAGGGGAACACAAAAATGTCTCAGCTGTAAATGAAAATATGGATGGAGGACCTCAGTTTAGCTTGTTTGTCGAGCTAGCGCTGAGCTAATACATATAAATAGCGTCAGTGCTAGCACAAAGGCTAAGCTGAAGTTAGCTCCTGTGACAGAGAAGTAAAAATGGTGACCACATCTTTGTGCTCAAATAGTTTATTTCCAAAAATGTATACTTCTGACCAAACTTACAACTAAAAACAAACAAATTTAAAAGTTTTTCTTAATAAAAACCATCCGGTCCATGGCTTCAGGCTGCAGGTCTTGCAGACAGCCTCTTCTGCACAGCGTCYACAGCAGCGTTGATCTCCTGCAGGGTGATGACCTTCAGCCTGTTGCTCCTCGACAGCCGAGCCGCCTCCGAGACCACCAGCCTGAGGAGGACCGGTCTGGGCAAACTGAGCCTGCGGCTGGACAGGAAGTCTGGACTCCTGGTCCTGCTCCAGACCTGCAGGTGGAGAGAAGGAGAGTGAGACCAGAACAGATTAAAGACCAAACCTGAGCTGCTGACCTGTTTCTGAGCTCTGTAGAGGACCGCAGCGTGACCTCTGACCCTGCTGCTGCTGGGTGGAGGGATCCTGGGAGGAGCCTTCATCTTGTAAAAAGCCCTCAGCCTGCGGCTGATCCTGCAGCAGAGTGAGTGTGGGGGCAGAAAAGGAGGTTTTAATGAAGGCAAATTGAAAACAGCTTTGCTTAATGAGTTAATTACCTTCATCCACCTGGATGTAAGGGTCTCAGTGGAGGTTCAGGAGAGGAGAATCCAGCTGGAGTAAAGCAGTGTGGCCACAGTTTGTTCATTTACACCGTTGTACTGGGTTTAACTGGTCTGATGGATCCAGGTGTGGATTTTAAACAGATTTTTAAATCAGAACTTTATTTTTCTTCTGCGTTGTTTCTTTCCTTGTGTTTGTTAAACAGAACAGTTTTCCTTTATTGAGCTAAAAAAAACCTGAGCTCCGTTTCAGAAATCAGGTTTAAGACAGAAACTCTGGATCAACCAACTCTAGTTTCAGAACAGCTGATATTAACTGGCTAACTCAATCCTGAGTTAAGTTAGCTCAGAGTTAAGATGGAGCAGGAAGTCAGATAACAGGATTCACTAAAACCTGTCCACCTTACCAAGTTTTAAAACCTTATATCAGACAAAAAGTCTTTTTGATCTTGTTTTCAGACTGATTTACTAAACAAGAACTGATTGTGTAAGAATAATCATCTTGTTTTCAGAATGTGTAAGATTATTTGTCTTGTTAGTCTGAAAATTTGACTCTAATTAAGTCAAACATTTCTGCCAGTGGAGTAAGAACATTTTACTTGGTAAGATTCTTGAAATACTTGATTTGACTGAAATTAAGTCAAACATTTCTGCCAGTGGAGTAAGAACATTTTACTTGGTAGAAACAAGAAAAAATTGTTCAAATCAAGTATTTCTATCAGCTTCACTCATGCTGGACTTTTCTATTAGGCTCTATAGCGCCTCTAGTGTTTAGACATGGAACTGCATCCGCTAGATGCAGTTCCATGTCTAAACACTAGAGGCGCTTGATTATTCTTGAAATAAGAAAAAACTGAGTCAAATCAAGTATTTTAAGAATCTTACCAAGTAAAATGTTCTTACTCCACTGGCAGAAATGTTTGACTTAATTTGAGTCAAATTTTCAGACTAACAAGACAAATAATCTTACACATTCTGAAAACATGATGATTATTCTTACACAATCAGTTCTTGTTTAGTAAATCAGTCTGAAAACAAGATCAAAAAGAATAAGGTTTTAAAACTTATTTAGGTGGACGGTTTTCAGAGTGGCAGCAGGAGAAAAGAAGAAGACAGCAAGTCTGTGCTGGAAATACTACAAATAAAGTACCTGAACGTGATACTTGAGTAAAAGTACAAGTATCTTATCATAAAATTACTTTGGTAAAAGTTAAAGTCTCCTCTAAGAATATTACTTGAGTAACAGTCTTAAAGTATCTCATTTATTTTGTACTTTAAAAGTAAATTTCTGACATAAAATGTACTTAAGTATAAGAAGTAAAAGTACTGAGTAAAAATGAACGGTTAGATTTTCCAAAATACATTTATTACTCTTCAAAAAGTGTAGTTGGACAGTTGAGTTTGTGCAGGCTGGAGGACAGGAAGTGAAGCAGGATGATGACTTGTTGGACAGGAGGGACAAATGGACGTCCTGAACGTGTCGGTGCTGCAGCTCATCGAGGAGAACCTCCTGCTGGACCAGGAGGAGACTCGTCCAGCCATGGAGGTCTCTGGTGCCCATGTCCAGGAGGGGACACCTGGACAGTCCCACAGAAGACCAGGAGATGAGCTGTGTTAGCTTGTCTATGTCCACGCATGTCCATCTCTGACCTTTGACCTCTGTGATGCTGGTGGGTGAGCAGCTGCAGGAGGGGTTTTGTCAGATCATCCAGGCATTAGGTCCCGTGGATTAATCTAATCCAGCCTGTCTTCTCTCTGCAGGCTCGGCTCGGCTCGGCTCGGCTCGGCTCGGCTGCTCACTCTGCTCTGGGTTCCCGTCTGGTCCGGAGCGGCCTGAAGAAGGATCTCAACATGCAGCGTTCCCTCCTGGTTCTGGTTCTGGTTCTGGTTCTGGGTATGGTTTCAGACCTCGACATCGAGTTTTAGCAGCTTTAGATTTTAAATCCAGAAATCTTAAAGTTTAATGTAAAACAACAGGTTTTATATGTTTTTACCACTTAAATTCTGTTTATTTTGAGTGTTGTTAATGTGTCGGACCACAGAAACAAATGTTTGCATCAATTTTAGTAACAATCTGTTTTTTTCTCTCCTCTTCCTCCTCTGCTGCCCCCTCCTCTTCCTCCTCGACCATCTGGCTTCACAGCCATCATCAGCGTCGGCGCTCAGGAGGTAGAAGAGCCTCAGCACCACAGTTACACCCAGAGAAAATCATAGAAATAATAACAGTTTTTATTTTTCTATACGTTCTTTTCACTCCTGCACAGTTTTAGCTGTTTCTATATAAAAACCTTCGGCTCAATCAGGAGATGGCTGCTGTGGCTTTGCATGTTTTATAATTTTTATTTATATAACATAAAAATAACAAAACAGAAAAAAAAACTCAGATATTTTCAGTTTCTTCATTTGTTCTTTAGAAATCAGCTTCAGCTGCCGATTGGTTTGATCTTTTTGTGCTACGAATCGCTTTTAGTTAATGTTTTACTACTGTTAGCTTTAGCGTTTGTTTTGCTTTGTTTACCTTTCAATTGTGGTTTTGCCACTTTTAGCTTTAGCATTTGTTTGTTTAGGTGTTAGTTGAAGTTTTGCTACTTTTAGCTTTAGCATTTGTTTTGCTTTATTTAGCTTTCAGTTGAAGTTTAGCTACATTTAGCTTTAGCATTTGTTTTGCTTTATTTAGCTTTCAGTTGAAGTTTAGCTACATTTAGCTTTAGCATTTGTTTTGCTTTGTTTAGCTTTCAGTTGAAGTTTAGCTACATTTAGCTTTAGCATTTGTTTTGCTTTGTTTAGCTTTCAGTTGATGTTTTGCTACTTTTAGCTTT